ATGTTTTATGAACGGTTGAAGAAAAAGTAAATCGAAATGGAAATTGGTAAGATGAATGAATGGTTTGATTTTATTCTATTTTATAGAAGAATATCAATTATTTAAAGTTTAGTTTTATTCAATTATTTGAATGGAAATGTATTTAAAAATGTATCTAATAATATTTGCATTTTAAAATGAAATGAATAATCTAATATAAAAATTAATAATTTATTTCCTTTGACTCATTTCTTTTACAATATTTTATTAATAATAAATTCCTCATTTTTATATTCGCAATTATCTTTCGTTAATTTTTAAAATATTCGTTCTTTTACTTTGGTAGGCAATTATCTCTTCAAAAATGATTTTACGAACGCTAAAAAGAAGTATCAACACTTACGTACCCTGTCGTTTCATGAGCCAACTTAATTTACGCTTCTCGCATGAAAGTTTAATTGCTTCTACTCTTTTCGCGAAACAGGGAATTATTCGATCAAGCGGAGAAGCGTGAAGAAGAACCTGTGCCTTGCCAATGTTTAAACTCGAGATGATTGTAGCTGTTTCTAAAAATAAACACGACATACACGTATATACGTTGGCGACCACTGAATCCTGAATGACGAAACTGAGTTCCGTTATAAATTCTTGGAAGATACTGGCATGTGACGTAATTTTACTGAATTGTCGTGCACTTTTCGACGTGACTGCAGGATAAGTATTCTCCGCATCATTTTGTTGAAAAATCTGTCGTTAAATCTTCTCTAACGAAAAATAAAATTGTTCATAAAATAAAGTTACATCAAGGTTAAGATAATTTAAAAAATTAATTAAGAGATGAATCATTTCTTTTTTAAGATCAAATTATATTAATGAAGAAAATGTAAATGATTTTAGTTATAGTATATTGAATGAGATTATATCAATAATACACAATAAAATATTGTAATATTTTTCTCAAAAATGAACATGTAAAAAGTTATAATCATGATCAAACTATCATATTATCAATCTATATATTGTGAATTAATTACACAATAAATATATGGGATGGATGGATCTTTTCTTTTTCTATACAAAAATTCTTTTCTAAACAAAAAATCCAATTTTATATTTATTATAATAATAACATTTTATGTCATATTATAATAATTTAAACTTTTTAATTTTTTTTTCATTTTATTTTTTATTTTTTTTTTTTTTCGTCATAATGTAATCTCTTCTCTATTTTTAAAGGTTAAATTTACTTTAAATTGATATATTACAGAGAAAAATAGTAAAACATATTAATTTTTTCTTTTACAAAGATGAAATTATAAACAAGAAATTTTTACACTTCAAATTGGAAAGATGAAATATTTACTTTATGCATTTATTATTATAAATATTATAAAAGAATTACATTAAACATTTATTTATAAATACAATATAAAGCTGAAAAAATTTAATATCAAAAAATTATTAATATCATCAGTATTCCAAAAGTTGTATAGATATCTCGCTTATAAGGGTATACTACAACGTATCGATGATTAGTTTGTTTGAACTGAGAATTAATACTTACTGAGAAAATAAATCAGGATTTAAGACCTTAAGGTAAAGTCTTTCAATGAGTTTGACTTGTATTGGACCGACAATTTACTAAATAGGCTTCTAATAACTTATAGTTGTAAATTATTTACTAATTCATTGTTAGAAATTTTCTTGGTGAGCTGTTTCGACGAAACTTGGTTAACCCTTTCTTAATCTGGGTATTGTAATCCTGATTATATTTCAATTTTCCAGCATAATGGATAACTATCATCATAAGATCTATTCAACTGGAAATCTAATAAAAAAATTTGGTTTAAATGCAATTATTATTTATTTATTGTTAATTAATTGTTAATTATTGTTAATTATTTATTGTTAATTAATTATTTATTTATTGTCGATTTTCGAAAAAAAGAAAAATTTATCATTTTAATATATATATGTTTGTAATTATTTATTTTGAAAGTTAATTTCTTCTAAAATGATGACTTTTTAAGTAGTATTGTATATTCTTCTTGTAAATAAATTAAATTATATTATAAATAAATTAAATTAAAAAAAATATTTTTCGATGTTTCGTTTGTGAGATTCAAGGATTAAAAATTTTCTTTCTCACGAAACTGATCTGGTTTTTGTGCCGCTATTGAAAACTCGGTTGAACGGCTCATAGAAAACGAACCCATTCAATATTCACGATCCTTTTTCTCGGCCTTAGAAAATATCTCGAACGAAACCTCTTTCCGCCAATTTCTAACGTGAACAGCGTTGTTACAACGACCCAAATTTTCCTCTCTGCAAAAGAACAACGCATATGGCGAAAGGATTTTGAAAAATGGAATCGATTTATTAGTGAAGATCTAATATTAATTCAAAACAAGAAAAATAATCGGATTGATTTCACGATTAATTTGTGACTTGTAAGAAAATCTTTAAACTTTTTTTTTTAATTAAATTATTTTTAATCAAATATATATTATATTTGTTTTAATATTATAATATATTATAATTATAATATTCTAATATTAATTATACAAAATTACTATCTTTCTTCAAAATTATGAATTCTTTTTTTTCTTTATCATCTTATACATATATAGAATTTTCATAGCTAAAGGAAATTTTTGAACTTGAAATAAGTACTGTTCAATTTTCTTAAGTCTTGAATGGATTTCCTGGATCAAAAAATGACATTTGTCACGATATTCCATGTGGTTTGAGCAAGCTTCGTAATGAACGGCAAAAAAGCATAGCAGGTACGAAAAACACGAAAACGGAAATGCGTGAGACACGAATGAACGACGGCCACGAAATCCCCATAACCCTGCATTGGTCTTCTTCCCATGACCCGAATGTATTGTGGAAATGCATTCGCGTTCACGTTTCGCCCATTCTTCATGATATATACATATGTAAAAGCACATGTTGCTTTTGCAAATTATAAGGTACACACTCAGAAATATGCTTCTGTTGACATTTCTCATTCTCCATTCAGAATTAGTTGCAGAAATTCTCGAGTTAATACTTCTGATACTTCAAGGTAAAAATATTCGAATTTTGTAGTAAAATATGTATTATATTTTGTATGTTACATGATGTATAGATTGTTATACATTATATAATAAGAGGTTAAGTATATTATACATTATATATTAAAAGATTATAGATGGAATTATAGACTGTAAATAGAAAAAGTTGCTATTCTATGATATACTTCTAGATTTCTTAAAGCCTGGATTTTTAGGTTAGGTTATAAATTTTCTATAAACAAAAACTTGTAAGTGATTATATATTATTAATAGTGTTTAATTTAATAATATTATTAATTTATTATTAAATTATATTATTAAATTATTTAATAAATCATATTTTGTGCAAAGTAGTATATATTTTCTTCTAAGATAAAATGAAAAAATTCTAAAATCATGTAGAAACAGTTTGCAATTCGTTTAGCTGACACGAACATGTTTTTTGATGGAAAACAATATATATTGTCAGGATATCTTCAGGCTTTTTTTTAAAATGATTTCATATTAAAAAAAGAAATTGTATATCAAAAAAATGCGTCTTATAACGCAACATCATCAGAGCTTTTTGCATTTGCAAAATATAATAAAACTTCTTTCTTATAAGTGAATACATATAAAGTAAATAAATAAATAAAATAAATAATAAATAATATAATATAATATAAATAAATAAATTTCTTTTATATATAGTAGAAAAAATTATAATAATGTAAATATTGTTGCAAAACATTGAAAAAAAAATTCTATTTTATAGATTTCTAAAAAAAAATTAGAGTGTGCTAGTTTTTTATTCAGCAATGTAAGTACATATATTTTTCATTCTAAGTAAATGTATAATAACCTCTTTGTCGCAACATGTAATTTGTCGCAACAAATAACATAGCCCACAAAGTCATAATTTCACCATAGCAATCAAATTGAAAGATATTATATTGTATTTAAAATTTACAGATTTGAATTTTCATTATAATTCAAATTATATTCTCAAACAATATTTGAATTTAAATTGTAATTAAGTATAGATTTATTTCTGTTCAATATTTAGTCTTTTTTATCTTATAATATATACAGAGTGTTAATGTATTCATAAGATATTTTTGATGAATCGATTCTAGAGACAAAGCAAATACAAAAATTGATATACAAAAACGAGATAGAAATGGAATTAGATAAATATTTTTGTCACACTATTTTTATCACACTATTTTTGTCACACTATTTTTGTCGCTTTAACATAAAGTTAATTTATCTTATATAAATTATCCTATAAATTAATTGAGACTCAATTAATATTTTTAAATATTAACTTTTATATTAAAAATAAAAAATTTTTTATGGCATGGAGAAAAATGAATGAATGACAAAAACTGTTGTAAAAAATTATTATAATCATTATTTTATTTAAGTTAAAACTATAAAAGATTATTAAAAGAATAAAAGTTCGCTTAAAATTTTAGCTACAAAAAAATGAATCCAAAATATTAATTATCAAAAATATTTAAAAGTGAAATCGATAATCAAATAATGAGTAAACGTTCGAAATGATTTGAACTTTCCAAGATTATGAAGATTCGAATTACTTCGAATATAATTCGAAGTCTAAAAATTTTGCATCTTATAATAATTTTTAAAAATTCTAATTATATTCGATTTCCAATTATATTCGAAATGATCTGAATTTTTCATCACATTTAAAAGTGTTTCAAATCCCATCATTGCGAATGATTATAATTATTATTACTAATAATAATAATGAGCCCTTCGAGAGTCGGCAGAAAACTTGAGTCACTGAAGGCAGCCGAAGGTGAGCATGCGTCGCAGGGCCAACCGAGTTTAGCCGAGACAAGGCGAAACGAACCGAACGAATCAAACGAACCAAGCGAAGCGACGTGGATACAAGAGCGTTGTTAGGTCATTGACTGCCGGTGGCCACCGATCCGCGAGTATCCAAGGACAGCCGCTCCGACGCCTCGCGATCTCTTTCTCTCTCTACCCATTTTCCCGTTCTTCCGACCTCTCTTTCTTTGATTCTCTTTTCCTTCTATTCGGTCTTATCATCTCATTTCATTCTGTTCCGTTTAGAAAAAAACTATTGGTAAGAATTATTTCATTTCATTTTATTAATCGACTTTGGAATTTATAATTAGAAAAGCGATTTTCAAATGTTGTGATGCAATAAATGTTCACAAAGTAAATTCAATATAACCAATTTTAGTTAACCTCTAATTGTTGTTGTAGGATGAATATCGCATGATATTAAAAGTTTGCAATTGATTAATGATACTAAGTATCCCAGTAATCTTTAATAAATGTAAGTATTTCTTTATTTTTCATGTAATAAATTGTAGAATAAGTAGAAAATGATTAGTTAAAAGTTATATGTATATAAAATTTAATACAAAAAGATTAGATTAGTGATGGATGTATTTATGATTTATGGATTATAGATTCCAATTTTCTTTTTTCGCCGTTTTTTTACTTTTCTTCTTTACAATTAATATAATCACGTTAAGAATTTTTTTTCTCGTGTGTGATTCGCAAGAATTTCTATAATCCACGTTTACAATTCTTCGCACTTGAGCCACGCATCGTCGCATTTATGTCCTCGATCGTTGCTCGCGGAATTCTTGATAGAACGATGAATTGTTCCAATTTTCAACTTTTTTTTAAAAATCTACTAGATTTTAAATTTTATATTTTTATATGCTTGACATTGAGAAAAAAATTTCAATAATATTTAAAACCAAATGCGAAACAAAGAGAACGTAATTAAGGAATCATATTGAATATAATGTTTAATTAAATGAAAAGTAAAAAATTGAGTGAAATATGATATTTAGTGTTAAAAATAATCTAAATTAACTATATTTATTGATATTGACAATATTATTGATCCTACAAAATTTTTAAAAGTTAACAAATTACTTTCTATGAATTATGATCTTAAGAAACAAGAATCTTATAAAAGGAAAAAAAGAAAATAAAATTATTATTCCTATAATTCTTAAATCTTTGTCAAAATGACATTCTATAATTTTTTTTCTTTATTAATATACATATAAGTAAAAGTAATAAAACTATTTTTCTACTTATTTTTTAAAGCCTATAAAAATTTAGTTATTTAGTTTTTAGTTAATAATTTTTTTAAATTCATATAGAATTTTTAAAGTAAAAATCAAAGTAAAAATTATTGTTTTATTCTGTAATTTTTCCAGGAAGAAAAACATGTTCAAAATATAGTCTTTGAATCATTCAAGAATATATATTATATCGTATTATTGGAATACTCGAATGCGAATATACTCATAATATGACTTCAAATAAAACTAAATTACAGAAATTGTGTCGTAAAATTTTCAAGCGTATAGTAATCAGCTTCAGCCAATAGAACAAGTTAAACAGAATGAAATTTGGTATACAGGAATCTTTTCAGAATTTAAATATTTCTTTTTATCTTTAACTTACGTTTACAATCGATTCGAAGGTAATATATAATTCTTCGATGGCATGAACCTTATCCCTCAACTTGGATGGTCATTTGATCCTAATAAAATATGATTGTACAATTTCGTTGCAAGATATCCAATGATAGTAATAATAAATGGAAGATTTTCCAAAAGCTAACAGAATATAAATGCACAGAAATTTATTATTTTCGATGAGGTATGAAATTTTTGCTCTTAATTATATCATTTACTATAGGCTATAAAAATTAAAACCATCGTTATATATTTTTTTATATTTTTGATCAAGTATTAAAATTATAAAATGTGAATCGATATATAATAAAAATGCAAAAAATGGGAATCTGGGAATTGTCTTAAAATTTTTAATCAAAAAAATAAAAAAAATTATTAAAATGAAATATAGAAATAAAAATATATTTATTTGCAAAAGGATTAAGATAGTTTATGAAAAATAATTATGAAAATCGTTATTAAGATAGTATTTTATAAATTTAATTTATATTATTAAGTTTAAACAATATTAGAAAAACAATATTCTATTATTGATATTGATTATCGATATGATATATGATAACAATTTTCAACAGATTTTCAATATTAAACAAAGAATCATGAATAAAAACAATTACAATTACGAAATGAATTTGTCTGAGAAATGTGTGAATTTACCGTAATTGGACATGATCCAATTGTTCTAAACACATACCTTTTTATTCAGACCATCCCCAATGGAGAATGAATCCTTTATAGCAAAAATGTTTCTTCGGTTAATCGTAAGCCAATTTGCGAAGGTCGACTTTGGCTAAGGAGATTGGAAAACATACTGGTCACACTACTGCTATTCCTTTTGCTGCTTTCTAGTACTCTGCCGCGGAGCATCTACACATACGATGGCCTTGACCGTTTTCTCCGTGTGTGATACTAACAGTTACACACGCTTATATATAGGATGATGGCAAAAAAAGAATTAATAAAATTTAAAGGTAGATGATTGCACACTAAATAAAGAAAAAAAATTTGATATAACATAGATTGAAAAATTAATATTTTTAAAGTTATAATTAATTATTCAAGAATTATCGTGATATGTATATAAAGTATCAAGTATATATGTAAATGAAAGAAAAAATATATAAAAAATTTTCTATCAAAAGAATAATATAATGATAATGGATGGTAATGGATATAATAATATGATAATATGATAATGATGATAATAATATAATGATGTAAAAAATGATTAATTTAGATTGTATTAAAAATTTAAAGATTAAAAGTCGTATTAAAAGTTTATTCAAGAATAAATCCAAATAAAAGAATGAACACTTTTTTTAAAATATTTATTTGTATTTTCTAATAAGTAATATTTGATAAGTAAAAACGAAATATAATTGTTTTGAGTTTCTAAATAATATATTTATAAATTTAAAATTTATCTAATTGAATTAGAATCTAATTTAATTCAACTGATATAAATAAAATAAAATGTGATTGAACTCAACCTAATCAATATATTTCGTATAAAAATAATAAAAATATACAAACTTATAAAAATATTTAAAAAAAAATAATGTTTTTGATTTAATCTTAAATAGAATTAATGAAAATTCTTAACTATAAATAATAATCGTTAACAATCATTAAAAATTTTTCGATCATTCTGTAAAATCATATATATGAATAAGTGTTTAATTGCAGGCTCACGATCAAGATCACCGTTGTCCCGATATATAAGTGAGAACCTTCAGTTTGTGTAATTTTGCACCAGAATTTTGATCGTTTGAAATGAAGAAAGTAATGCAAGCAAAAAATGACTCACTGCACAAGTAAAAGGTTGGAGGCCTATGATCGTACAAGGTTATGTCCAAATAAGACTATATTTTTCATTAAATGTTAATATGTATTTTTCCATTTTCAATTCCTTATTCGATAATAAAAATAATAAATGATTTTGCAGCAAGAGAAGGACAGATCTACTTGTATCAAGCAACAATTTTAGTGATAAAATTATTGCTTTGAGTTAACTTGAAAATTAATTAAAAAAAAAATATTTAATTGCAAAAATATATATATATTTCTACATAACATATAATAGTTATTGAATTGATAAGTCTTTATTTCAATTTTTAATGTGTCTTTTGCATTAAAGTATCAAAAAAATTATTATAACAATATACAAAAATTATTATAACAATATACAATTTTATTAATTTATTTTTATTTTATTAATTGCAATAATTGTTTTCTATTAATTAAAATCTTGTCAATCGATAGAAAATAGAATTAGATAAGAGATATAATTTGATTAATAATTGAATAATTATGATTAATTATGATTAATGTAAGATCATGCTAATCATAACTATTGACTATTAATAATCAATAATTAATAATCATTGATGAAGAGAAATAATTTTAATCTTTGTAATCAAAGATCATAATTAATTCAACAATTGTAATATATATAATTATTCTATTGATTATGATTGAATTAACAATATATTTTTTATAATAACAATGTATTTCTTTAAAAATTCCATATTATTGACTTAAATTTGTTAGAAGCAAGTAACGTGTTCCCAAAAGGAAGGTCAATGTTAGCATCGCTAGCAGACGGAAGTGTTTCACCTTGCAGCGAAAGCCGGTGCAGGTCCTCGAGGAATGCGTGGTTTGTGTTCGCTATTGCGACGCGGTACGGAATGCGAAATGCATTTCGAGGTGTGGCATGAGGAGCAAATGTATCACTCACATACATGGTTTGGATCGAACTACCTAGATTTGCTAACTAAATTGTTTTTTTTTCATTTTTTCAGAATGATTTCTAATACTACAATAGTACTCAGAAAAATATATTAAGAAAAAAGAATTAGGGAAAAAATAAAAAAAAAAAACTAATATTATTAATTCCATTTTGAAATTATATTAAATATTCATATATGTTTTCTTTATAAATATTTTTTATAAAAAAAAAAATAAATTTATGTTTATATAAATCAAAAATAAAAAAAAATACAAATTAATGAATGAATATAATGTAAAAAATAAAAATTGTAGACTTTTAATTCTAAAATTCTTTTTGTTTTATACTTTTAATAATATATATGTATAATAATATATTAAATATATATTTAATAGTTTGATAAATTGCTATATAATTGTATAGCTAAAAGTAATGACTACTTTGTACAATTATATTTCTTTCATGTTTTATTTATATTTAGAAAAAATTGAACTTATTTTTAAATTAAATATAATATTTTTAAATGAATATATATTATACAAATTTAAATTTTTATGAATACAATTACAAATATGAAATTAAAGTAAAAATCTATTTTACTTAAATATTTTAGATATATTTTTTTTGCATATTTTGTAAATTTTTATTTTATTTAAATTTTGTAATAAAATCATTAATGGTTCTCGTCTAATTATTTTTTTTCTTTTTATCTTTAAGTTATTTATTTTTTTATTTCAATACATTGCACAATACAATACATCTATAAATATATGTATATTATAGATATTTATATATGTATCAATTACTTAGTAATTATGTTTTTTTTCAAATCTTTAACAACTTAATTTTTTGTTGCACATCAAAGAAACAAAAAGAAAATCCGATAATTTTTTTTTTTTTTCATTTCATTGTTTTCTCAAAAATAGACAAGTTAAATAGAACATTCTGTATCATCAAAACGATTATTAATAACTCACCCTATACATATGACATTAACATTTTCACGCGACCAATGCTATGCACTCGCCGTGTTAACCTAGATTGTTTTCTTATGCAGCAATCATGCTAATACCACGAAGCCTTGATCTTGAATAGGAGAGATAGAGAGCAACAAAGCGAGAGAAAGAAGAAAAAACATTATAGATCACGTTTAACATAAGTGATCGAGAGAACTGGAAATACGAATTATAACTCTCGTGAATCGATCCACGTGTATAGGTCTGTGTGCTGCTTTTTTTATGTAAGTTACATATCGATATCGAACATGAAAGATTGGTAGATTGAAAATCATAGGAAAAAAATTTAATTGGTATAATTTTATTGATTTTCTGTTTTTCATTTTTAAATTTTTTTTAAATATAAAAGTATTAATTAATATCTATAAATAAACAATCATATCTTATATTTATATTCTAATTGATTTTAAAATAGCAGCAAATATAAGTAAAATGTTGGAATGAACGTGAATATGTATATGTATAAATGCTTCTATATATATAACTGTAATATATATATATATATATATATAACTGTAATTCTTTATATATAATATAACTTCTATATATATGCTATGTGACAAAAATATATTCTAATTAATAAAAATAGTTTAATAAATAAAATTATATAGTTATAAATAAAATATATGATCAAATATATATATAGTCAAAAATATATTTTATATAATATAATACTTAATGGTTTAATCAGAATATGATTGTATATCAAAATGATATTTAATTTTGTGATCGTACATATTTAAGCAAAAAATGATCATTATGAAATAGTTGTATCCATTAAATTTTATTTTAAAGTTATATTCGCTTATTGGAATGTATTGTAATTTTTGAAGTATCTATCGATGTACACTCTTGAAACATTCTACATTCTATCCATTCACTATGAATCCGCAATACATAATGTTTCATTTATTTAATGATAGTTCTCTTTGCTCCGTGTTCCGGATAACTTCTTTTGAGTCTTCGAGTCTTCGAGCATACTCAAAGATTCTCTTGTTCAAATACTTACATAGTCGTATATTTTCATATAACGAAGAAACGAATATTTTAAGATTTGTAAATTATGAATTATTTATATATTAAAATAAAATTTAATGGACATACAACTACTTCATAAAAGTTTACATTAAAATATGTCTTATATATAAATTTTTCATTTTCTCAATATTTTAAAAAAATAGATTTATATTATTTTCAAATAAATATTAATCAATATTTCAAATAAATATTAATCTAGTATTTTTTAACTTTTTTTAATTAGCAATAATTAAAACTAATAAAAATTTTCGTTTTAAAAAAATTTAATAATAGAATTTCTCCTTAGTCATCAAAAATCTCAATTTTTATATAAATAATATAAAGAATTAAATATTTTCTTCTGAATGAAAGAACGAATAATATATACAAAAATAAAGATTTAAAAATGGCGCGTTA